GTCTTTGGCCTTTGTAACAAAGTTACTGACTCAGGGCTTCTTAGACTGTTCTTATTGTATTTTTTCTCTTTTGCATGTGATATTAGATATTATATAAAGGCTTCCCATTTTGCACAGATCAAGCAATAAAATACTAATGCTTTTTGGTAAATCTTTTTTGTCACATAGGTAAAGAGAAGAAGGTAAAAGGGCACAATTAAAATTTGATATTGTGTTATCTTAAATCTGCATTCAATGAATGTTTTGTGTTGGGTAGAAATTGGGTTTTGTTTTTATTTCAAGACTTATAAATATTTTGAAATACGTAAATAATATTGCATATTAATAATATCCTGCACATTGAATGCAATTATTCATGATGACAAATCTCTCTGGGAAAATGTAGTCTCTTAATGGTAATACTTTTAATGTTCCATATGAATGGATTTTTCACTATTCTTTGCCAGATTAATTACTATAATGAATCTATTTGCCATCAATGTGCATAACAAAAGGACTTCCATCAATGTTCCAGTGTGATTCAGTGCAAGTTAATACTATATTAAAATACACTGCTATTGATTTGTATGCAATAGAAGAGGAACACTTTGTTTGGACTGCAGGCCTCCTTTTTTAAATGTTAGTTTCTACACTCACACTTTTTATAGACTTTACCCAAGAAATGTTTTGCATTTATCTTAAAAAGAAACTAAATTCACATAATCTGTTAACTCTTAAGACATAATATGTGTGTTTGTATTACAAGATGGTTGTTTTAAAATTACCAAACTATCTAATAAAATGTAATTTTGAATGTCTTATTTTATTGCTCCACTTCAAACACCATGTTCTCCAGTTATTGCCATGATATGCAAACAAGGTTAGAATTTTCAGAAAAAATTATGAGCTGGATCCTCCAGGACATTTGCACTGCAGGAGCCCAGAGCAGCCCAAAAGCCAACGTAACCAGCTACAGGAGGATTCTGTATGTAGACACTGTAACAGTTCCTATGCCAGTCCCCATTCTGGCTGCTGAAACAGGGTATGTGGCCCAGGAAACAGGAGTGGCCAATGCTCCCTTGTACACCCGTGATCCCCAGCTGCTATAATGATCCCTTGGGACTGCTGGTACCTGGTGCATACTGGAGCAGACTTCAGGCTGCTCTAATTTGCATCTAGAGTCCAATCCACTGCCCCTACCTCCACAAGCTGCACTGAACATTCCTTGGCCACAGCTGAAGATCTGGACCTCTATCAGTAAGTCTACACTGCAAAAAAGACTTGTGGCAGTGAGTCTCATAGCCTGGGTCATCTGACTCAGGCTCATGGGGCTCACACTATGAGGCTAAAAATTGCAGTATAGATGTTTGGGCTTAGGGTGGTGCCTGGACTCTGAAACCTGGTGATAGGGGTGGGTCTCAGAGCCTGGGCTCCAGCCCGACCCCAAAAGTCATCTGTGCTGCTATTTTTACCCTATAGTGCAAGACTGAGTCAGTTTACTCAGGCTGTTAGACTCGCTGCTGCAGGGTTTTTATTTTTGCTGTGTAGATTTACCTTATGCCTCCAATCAGCTGAGTTTTTGGTGTGTTTTTCTTTTTTTTAACATTGGAGGCACAATCAAAGGATTTGATTTTGTTCAGTATATACATTAAACAACTATCTTAAGATATATTAATTAACCAATACTTCCTGTGGTTTTCAACCTGGAGTCCACAGACTATGTCTAAGGGGTCCACAAAATGTTGTTTTTACCATAGAACAGGGGGTGGTCTGCAGACTGTCTTAAGATTTCCAAAGGGGTCCACAGCTCCATTTAAAATTGTTTAGGGGTCCACAAATGAAAAAAAGACACTGCCACTAGACAGCGGAATGAAAGGGAGAAGAGAAAAGGTGGCTTTAAGACACTTTGTGCCTCCTGAATTCACAGCCTCAGGGCAGCACATGACCCCTTGATGCCCATGGTCAATTAAGAACAGAGGTAGCATGCATAGTGCTCCCCCAACTGGCAAGTCTCTATGCTGAGATAGGGGAGGGAGACTGCACAGACTGATGGAATGACTATGCTAAGTAGGAAACCCTCTGCATCAGGGGAATATCCTGGACCTGGAGACCAGTTTCATCTATTATATGGCCCCTTGCATCACTGGAGCATAAGTGGATCACAGCAAAGCAAAGAATTGAAGCTGATACCTAAGCTATATGACATGTCATATAAATCAGCCATCTAAAAATCTCTTCAGATGTCTTTAAAAATAAATCCTCATGCAACTGCTATGAGCCCAGTTCTGTGGACTATTCCAGTATAGGTATGTAAACAGAGCCTTCAAAAGCAACTACAGGATCCCAAACACTCAGTGGTTTATATTTGGTTGTTCTGGGAACAAATTATATTGCAGTAAAACTGGCATTGTCCTGAGAGCACGACAGACCTTTCCATTGTCCCTTTGTTGTTTGTAATATTGTCCTCTTTATTTTGTATGTATATGTTCTATCAGCTCCTCTTTTTGCATATTTTTATTACTTAAGAGGGACAAATTCTTATCAGTTACACTGGTGTAAATCCAGTTGATATCAAATTTAATACAATTATTTTGGGTTTACACTAGTGTAAATGAGACCAGATTCTGGCCCAGTATTAGATTAATCTTTGTTTAACATAAAGGCTCACCACTCTGTTACTTCAGTTTTACTTTCATGTAACTTCTTAATCTAGTTGCCCCACTCTTTATGGCTGGAGCTATATTGACAACTGAGAGTGTCAGCTCAGCTGTAAGGAAAGGGAGTTGCAGAAACCCTAATGCCATTGGTGGAAGTCCTGCCAGTTCCAACAGTGATGGTGGAATACCCACCCATCCCTAAAATGAATCTGTTGAGGGCCCTCCTCAAAAAGAAGGAAAAGGATGTTGAATAACCAATGACTTTTAGGAACAATCCCTGTGACTAATGTTCCATACAATCCAGCAGCTTCCATTTTGAAGGCTATCTCTGCCCCTGCTCCCTAGTTGATTGCAAATAACTAAAACAAGCATATTCCTGAAGGACTTGTTTGTTAATTATTGTATATCACATATGCCTTTAAAATTCTTTCTCTATGGAAGAACTGCTTGATTATGCTGCCATCTTGTGGAAAAGACAATAACACCACCCTCAGTTTGAAATCACCTTAGTATGTTTTTTTGTAACAGCAATAGTTTTTATGCTTCCCAATTTCAAATATCAGGGAGGGGATAGAGGAGTGAATTGAAAATGGCACTTTGAGACATATTAAAAATGTAAATGCATCTGGTGTCAAACAATACTAAGATACCAGCAGCTAGCTTGTCTCCATGCCAGGAACTCTTCATCTGACTAACCGTAAACCATCTGAGCCCTGCTCCTAGCTTCTCTCCTACCCCTTGCTTCTCAGAATATAAAATCACCTTCCCTCCTGAAGGGCCTCTTACTGGCACATGGTATGATAGGACTGTTTTAATGAAATTAATAGGACTGAATCAAGTATTACCTCTCCCCTTGTGGGTCCAGGACTAGCTGCTTCAAGAAGCAGTCATTTATGGTGTCTAGAAACTTTATTTCAACATCCTGTCCTGAGGTGACATGTACCCAGTCAATATGGGGATAGTTAAAAATCTCCCATTATTACTGTTTTCTTATAGACTCTCTAATCTCCCAGAGCATGTTATAATCACTATCTTGGTCAGATGGTCGGTAATATGTTCCTACTGCTATACTCATTATTCAAGAATGGAATTTATATCCATAGAGATTTTAGATTTTTACTATATTTGACTCTCTTTCATATATAGTGCCACTTCCCCACTGGTGCAACCTACTGTATCGTTCTATCAGGGGAGGGATAACTCAGTGGTTTGAGTATTAGCCTGCTAAACCCAGGGTTGTGAGTTCAATCCCTAAGGGGGCCATTTAGGGATCTGGGACAAAAATGGGAGCTTGGTCCTGCTTTGAGAGGGGGTTGGACTAGATGACCTCCTGAGGTCCCTTCCAACCCTGTGATTCTATATTATGGTATTACTGTACCCCATAGATCATCAGAAGTTCACTAAATTTCTGTGATTTCATTTATATCAATAGTCTCACTTAATAGTACCAGACAGTCCAGTTCACCCATCATAGTATTTAGAAGTCTAGCATTTTTATACAACACTTATAAAATTGTCCACAGGTGTCAGGGCCGTGCCTGTACCTGGCCACCTCCACCAAAGCAGCATTGGAGAAGTGGTGCAGCAGCCTCCTGGTGCCTGTCCTGGCACGTTGCACAGCAGTGAAGGCTGCTGCCGTTGTTAGTCTCTAAGGAGCCACAAGTCCTCCTTTTCTTTTTGTGGATACAGACAAACATGGCTGCTACTCTGAAACCACTTTGAAACAGAAACCCAGGGGCGGGGCCTGGCCTGGGCCGTTTCAGGCATGCCCCTGCCTGCAGGCAGCTGGTGGGGTGAACAATTCCCGTCCTGCCCCTGCCCCAGCCCGAAAGGCTGAGCCCTGCTTCGCGCATGGGGCAATCAGCCCAGCCAGGGAAAACAGAGACCTCCGCCCACCCCGAACCAGAGAGCAGCAGCCCGCAAAATGGGGGGAGGGGCTCAAGAGAACTCCCCCTCCCACCGCGCCATGCTCAGCCAGTCACGGGGAAGGGGGGGCGCCCGCTTGCCGCGCTGCACGCTGGGCAATGTAGTCTTTGATGGCTGCACGGCGAGCTGCAGGCAGTTTCCTCGTCAGGTGGGGGACAACCCTCCGTGATTCCGGCGTATGCAAATGAGGCGCGGCCTCTACGCGGAGACAGGGGTTCAAGCCCGGACGCTATTATACCGCCCTGCTCCGATCGCCATATAAAACCCTATCAGAATGCCCGCCACGTCCAACGTCACACACCCCCCAGACAGAAATGTACCACGTGACCGAGCAGGCTGGCCGGCTTGTGGGACGGCTCCTCCTCTCCCTGTCGCGCGAACTGACCCTGCGTACTAAACTGAAAGTAACGAATTGACCCCACCCCTCCATCTCTCAACCAGTGAGATTTCGCGCGAGGCCCGGTGTTCCATTAGCCAATGGACTCTGCCTCTCCCCGGTCCGTCCCAGTCTACCAATGGGAATAGGGCGCGCGGTGTCGGGCTCGTTTTCATCTTAACGGCGCGCGACAAGAGTTTCAGGTGGTGGGCGGTGCTTCAGCTTGGCGCAAAGATGGCGGCCCCGGGCAAACGGAAACTCGGGGCCGCCACTACCGGCAGCGGCGCCGGGTGGAGGAAGCGAGGCTCGGGGGCTGCCGGGCCGGAGGGAAGCGGCCGTGGGCAGCTGCAGTCGCCCTTCGTGGAGGGCTCCATAGTCAGGGTCGCTATGGAGAATTTCCTGTGAGTGCGGCGCCCCCTGCTGCAGGGGCGAGGGGAGGCGCCGGGCGAGAGCGACCTGGCTGGTGGGGGCTGAGGCTCGTGCTGGGGGGCCGCCGGCTGGGCCGTGGGGAGGCGGGCGTTTGGCACTCGGCTAAGGGCCCAGCTCCGGGAGTCAGGAGATGACGCCAGGCACCGCTCGGCCCGGCCTGGGTCGCAAACGTGACCATGGGCGGTGGAGGCGCCGTCCTGCCCCTGCTGTCACGTGCGTAGTGGGAGGGAGGGAGCCCGGCCGCGGTGTGGGAACGCGGGGGCCTCCTCCCCCCCCAGCCGTGTGCGCGGAGCTCGCTGGCCGGTGCGGCTTGTGCTGACCCCGGGTGCTCGGGCTGCTGCGGCCGGCCTAGTTCTGCGCACTAGCGGCTTCAGGAGACTAGAGTGGCCCTGTGTCGGCCGCCTTGTAAAACGGGCAGCGTGTGTGTCCCTGGTTATACCTTCAGTGTTGGACAGCGCCTGGCCGGCATTCACAAACGGCTTGGGCTAGGCGCCGGGTACTGGCTAGCTTCCCACGCCTTTCGTGTTCTACATCTCCAGAAAAAAAACTGCTCTAGCTTTATGGCTGGGGACAGAAACCTTAAAACGGTAAATGTAAGGACAGCGCTTTCGTCTTCCTGATTGAGAAACAACTGCTTTTGGAGGTGTGAACTGCCCTATGGATCACAATAGGTTAACACTGACACCTAAAGTATGGCAGTTTAAGCCTCAGCATGAAGTAGTCAACTGCTTGATCATTTAAAGAAGAAACATTTAGGTTATGTGTCTGCTGCACAGCCTGTCTCCCCCTCATCTTCGGGTGCCAAAAGCCCCAGCAACCAAATCTTTAGGCGAGGTCTGCTTTACAGACCACTAGCAGTATAACTGTTGCTTAGTGGTGTAGATTTTTCACACCCCTGAGTGATGAACTTATACCGATCTAACCCCCTGTGTAGACAGTGCTGTGTTGACGGGAGGGCTTCTCTCACCGACATAGCTGCTGCCTCTCCAGGAGATGGACAAACTGCACCAACAGGAGAAGGTCTTCGAAGACATAGTAGTGTCTTCAGTGAAGTGCTACAGTGGCGCAGCTGTACTGCTATACATGAAGACAAGCTGTTACTTATATCCCTGAGCTCTTCTAAGTGCGGCTATGTGTTGTCAGTAAAATCTCTTTTGCATTTGAAAAATTGAAAATGAATGGACAATAGAAGATACTGAATTTAATGTAAAAATAAATGGCACAGGAGGTACAATACTGACTGTACTAATTTTATTAATTATTTGTAGTGCATTAGCGCTTAGGAACTCCAGTAATAGATCATTACTTCACTATGCTAGGCACTGTTCAAACATATAACAAAACCATTGCCCCTACCCCAAAGAGCTCTTTAATATTAGTTTTAATTAAAATTCTCAGATTTTGTAACTATATTAATTTATCATAGAAATTTCAGTCTACTGACAGTCAGGAACTATGCTGCAGATCTTAGATCTGGCTTGCTGTGATATCACACAGGCCGTTGGTGCTGGTTATGCCTTCTAAGATCTGCAACTACAGGAGACAGCCCTCTGCCTACATGAGTCAAATCTGACAGACTTAGAAACAATCAACTGAACAAAAAGTGTTTAAATCAGCCTTGCAAAATTCAACTTATCCATTTTCTCTAAAAGACTAACTTTTTTGGGGTAAAAATATTAAGGATGAAATCTTGGCTCCATTGATGTCAAGAGGGGCTATGCAGTTGATTCAGTGGAGCCAGGATTTTACCCTTAGCTTTTCATTCTCCACAGTCATCGTGGTAAAGGATAGATATGTGCTGCAGCTGGTATATTTTCATTACACTGTGTTAAATGATATGGGATTAAGGTTTTTTTGGCATGTGTTGAGTTTTTCTAGAAAACAATATTTTGAAAAGACTTCAATCTTATCTGCGGTATTGTTAGAAGTATTGGTTTATCATATTTAAAACAATGTCAGAATGGCGCTGAGGCAAATATGCTTGTTTTGCATGAAATTGTGATTGATTTTTCTGGTCCATATCATTGTCTATTAGCCTCAAATGATGGTTTCTTTTAGAACATACGATAATTGTGAAGTGTCTCCAGGACCCCATTTGAACATGATAGTAGGAGCCAATGGAACAGGAAAGTCAAGCATTGTGTGTGCGATCTGTCTGGGATTGGCAGGAAAACCTTCTTTCATAGGGCGTGCAGACAAGGTGAGTGCAAATTTTTGAGATCTAGACATTTCATTTAATAATTTAGGGCCCAGTCCAACAGGAATAACCATAATCCTGGTGCTTTGTAAACTGCAGGTGGATAATAACACCTCAGCAGGTCAATCTGCTGCAGAAACAAAATCTCTCTGAATTGTCCAGCTCTGCTGTAAATCTACAAAGAGATCTGCAGCTGTAATGTTGGTCTTCTGCTTATCAACCTAACTGAGCTCTTGTGTTCAGTCTGGAAGCACTTGATTCATGTTGGGACCTCTTAAAATTTTGTAGCTAACACAACCTAATTGGATAAATTGAAGCATGTAGGAATAGTGGTAATTCTTATATTTTTCTAACTTTGTAGTGTTTCACTTTTAAATCTTTTTTCATCAGAACTTCCAAAATGCATGGAATCTGTGAAAGTCTGAGGTGCTTATCTGTTGATAATTGATATCAAAGGGCTTTGTGTTAGAGAGCAAGTTAGATGATTTTGGGGCACATAATGCTTTTGGGTAAGAGCCTTATAGAGGGTTGAAGTGTGTTATTGACAGCATTATTAGCAATGTGTACACTCTTACTCCAGAATAAGAGTGCCTTGTTCCTGTTATCTTAATACATTTTAGATGTATGTAAGCAGGAACAAATCACTCTTATTCCTGAGTAAGAATGTCAACATAAGGGATTAATTGGGAACAACGCCCAAGTGCAGAGAATCCTTAAATGTAGTTCTTTGGGTAGGCTCTGCACATCCTGTTCATATGTTGCAGTGACACTGCAGCCCTGATAGTGCTTGTTGGAGCATTTTACTGCTACAAGAAGGTTCCACCATCAGCGTATTCCATGAATATGAATATGTAGAGTCCATCTTTAAAAACTCTGTTTACAGGTGAATAAAATTTCATTTTTTTTCTTTAATACACTACACTTTTATAAAGGAGAAGTATGTTTATGGTATGTTGAAAGTGGACCTTTTGAATAGGCAGTAGGATTTTCTAATCTACTTATTTGTTGGTTTGACTTTTTTATATGTGTTTTTGCAAATTAAGAGGGTATATATATTTAAAGTTGGTTTAGTGACGATGGATTATACAGCTGTCAGGCTGAATCCCTTTAATTGTTCCAGACTTCTAAATGACTTTTTCCTCCCCATGCCCAAGGGGTTCAATTTTTTGTAAAAATAGATGGGCTTTGGGCCAAATCAGCATACTCATCTTTTAATCACATTCATTTGTATTTTCTAGCAGTAGGCAATATGACTGTCTGAAATTCCTTCTTCTGTGTAACTTGATTCAAGGACCAGTCTAATATAGGGCATCAGTCTTGGAGCAGATCATGAAGGACAAAAAAGAGCCATACTCTCCCTTTCCCCCGTAGAAGAAATTGAAGCTTTGGGGAGGGAAGGAGTGAGGGAGAAGTTTTGTATAAAATTCTAATTTCCTCGTAACAGGATTTCTTTAGTTATTGCCCAGGCATAGTCTTTATTGTAACTACATGTGACGGAATTGTATGCATGGCAGCATTGTAAATTGGTACTAGTTATTCACATACCTATACATTAAATCTAAATTGTCTTAAGTCTGATTTTTAAATATATTTTTAATAGATACCTTTTGTGTTTAATAATCTAAAATACTGGTTCCTGTAACTTTTGCTCTGCAGGTTGGTCTATATGTAAAGCGAGGGTGCTCTAAAGGCTTGGTTGAAATTGAACTGTAAGTACTAAAACCATTTTTGCTGAGTTTATCTTGTGTTTCTGGTTTAATAAACAGATTTGTAAAAAGTTTTGTAGACGGCATCTATTGAGGCACTGGTGATTTGTGGTGTGTAAAGAGTACTTTATTGAAGCACAAGCTTACTATAATAAATTTTAAAGTGTCAGATAACTGGTTTGTAAGAAATGATCCATTAGCTAGCTAACAATTTGTCATTTTCTGCTGCAGCTTGCCTAATCTTTAAGGGAGGCTCCCGGCATGCAGAAAAAGAAAGAAAAGTGGTATATAGAAAGCAAGTGTTTTGACTTAATCGTGTTAGATTTTGGTGTATTTAATGTTAAGTGATTCAAATACTGTTTTATGTAAACACTTATAACCATTAGTATAACATGTAATTATATCCAAATTGTTCTATATTTAATAAAAATAAAATTAAAACTCTTCAGGAACCTTTTTCCAACCTTGCATTGCAACATAACTTTGCATAGTACTTGTTGGGTTCTTGCCCCAAAGAACTTAGACTGCATCAAACAAACAGAAAAGACAACAGGCAGAAGAATAGGGAGGAAGGAGAGGCAGCGTAAAATAATAAAAGGTAGCATAACGTTTCCTGTAGACTAAAAGGAACCAAACAGTTGGCCTCAAACCTGTATGGGGTGGTGGAACAAAGACTGACCCATTCAGAAGAGACTTCTTTGAAACCAAGCACAGGAGGTGATATTAGAAGCTGATTAACTAGTAAACTTGTTGCTTGGGTAGGAAAGAGATGCCACGGTGATAGCTGATTACCAGTGAGGAGGGGGAAAAAACTGAAGGAGGTTATCCTGGATCTTGAGGAAACAGTGAACCTTGGTAGACAAATTGGTTCTAGGACCAGGAGTAACTGACCTGCCAACATCTGCATGTCTTGGTGATGGGTGGGCATCTGGTTGCAGAGTTGGAGAAAGAAAGAAGAAATATGAAATGATTGCTTCCTCAGCGCAAGATGAGGTTCTGTTGTCCTTTTTAAATCAAAGGAGAAAAACTGTAATATGGGAAGGCATGGCTAATGAAAGGGAATCTGTTTTTTTTTTTCTCCTGAGAATGGAAACAGTACAATAGTACAACCATCATCCTAATAAGATTCCATGAGTAATTGTAGGATAATATAAAAGGAAGATAGCAAGGACTGTATTACCAGAAAGAAGGCATGGGGTGGTGAAGGTGTGTGTTTTGTTTGTTAAAGATGGTGCAACAGTCTTTCACCTGGACAATAGAATACCAGACAACACCTTAGGTGAATGGAAAATAATAGGAAAAGGTGGGACTTAAAAAATCTACTTCACCTCAAGTAGATCTTTTGAGATTTTCTTCTTTGTATGTCTTAGTTTCCCCTTCTGGTGTGTTTGAGGATTTACATATTGTAACCTACAGTTTAAAGACAAGATATTGTGGTTTTATAATAGAGATGGGCATTCTGTGTTCTTGTGGAATGGAGTTAGCCAACCTTGTTCGAAGGATCAACCCCTTTAAGAACAGGGGGTATAGTATAAGTGGAACCGGAAGTTAATTATGTATGTGTTTTTCCCCATAGCATGGTGAAAATGCAAGGGGTGGGTGGGACTTGGTGAAGAGGGTCAGAGACCTTCTTGCTTGTGCACCAGGCTCAAGAAGGCAAGGTGGGGTTAGACTATTTGCCCAGAAACTGTAGAGCCTCAACATCTAACTCTGGCCATTCAGCATATGCAATAAAGATCTCTTTTCTACAGTTTTGCCTCACATGTTGCTTATTGGTATCAAAATATGTAGTTCAGTCAAGTGGTAGAATCACTTGAAGGAAGACTGTGAGTAGCCAGTCTCTCACTGGTAAACTACTATGGAGCAACCTCTATCATCTTAATACTTCTTTCAGTCTCCTTCTGGGGAAATGCAGATCCCACAATTCCAAGTTTTAGAACAGGACTGGCTTTTCCTGGAACACAACTTCCCTCAAAGGAATCAGGCTACCCTGTTACACAGGCAAAGGAATGAATGATGGACACTTAGCTACAGCATAGTTTAGGGACACTCTCTTCTTAAAACCCAACAGGAGAAAAGAAATGAGTGCAGTCGCCAATGCAGGTGTAAACCAAAGTCTCTCCAAACACATGTCAGAGAATGAGAATTTTGCTGTCATGCAGAGAATACTGTCTCAGAGAGAGGCCTATCACAATGTGGGTGGTACAGGAAGAGTGAGTTAGCAAAATCCAGGAGGATATTCAAGGAATACATAGACAAGAGAGAAAGAAACTGAATATGATAGCTCTCCAGCTTCTGATAATACAAAATATTGTAAACAGAGGCAGAAAGTGGTAAGGAAAGAACAAGGAATAATAGCACCATATCAAAACTAATCAAGGTAGATCCTAGTACAAGAAGGTAAAGAAAGGCAGAGGAAAGTGGTACAATCGGGACATGCATATATACAGTGAAAGCGGACTCAAGAAATTTTGTGGTTAGTCACAAAGTAGACTGCAAACACTGCATTACTGATGGGATAAATTAATAGATCTTGGAAGAATAAACCTCACTTAGTCTATTCTCAGCATAGTTATGTTTGTTTGAACAAGGTATGTAGATGCTATATTTGATAAAAATAGCCTGTCAAATGGCTTAACTGTAATAAAATCTCGGACAGATAGTACTGCCCTTCCTAAAGCAAGTTTTTTACATAGACTTCTTTTACTGAGAAATCTCATATTACAAAAATTTGTGCTGAAAATGACAAGTTTAGAGTCTCAGTAACATCCTTACTGTGAGAACAATTCAATCAAATGCAAAATTTGATGAGCAAATAGCCCTTGTATGATAATTGAAACCAACTCTGCCATCCCATACATTGAACTTTCACAAGTTAAAAAAGCTGAAGAGCTTTGAGTAGGCTATACTCCTCCATCAGGTTTTGAAGTCATTGGGAATTGTGCTGCAAAGTTACTTTTCATGCTTTTGAAAATACTACCCTAAATATGGTGCCTAAACATTTAGCAGCCTAACTTAACGTCCTGTTTTTGAAAAACTTGGCCAGTATATATTTATTTTTAATCACTTAAAAATGAAACGATACTTACATGTTTTATTTTGGAAGTAAGATTTTTGTCACTAAGAAATAGTTTGTAATAAAAATGTTAACTTCTGCTGCAAACACTTGTTTACGTGCTTTACTTGAAGTCATACATTATCTAAAAGCTTATGTCTACTTTAAGGTATGATGTGGAGCTGTCAAGTAGTGCTGTTACCATAGAAATGGGGTAAACAGTGACACCATCAACATGTTAAAATTACCACTGTGAAATATTTGTATTCTTTTCTGTTAGTTTAATGACTCTGTGTATTTCAGGACATAAAATTGGATTTCTTTGACTTCACAGCCTTACAACAACCATCTAAAGGGTAAAACAAAGTCTAATAATAAATTTGTACAGCATGCTCCTGGCCTCAGATGCTAGAGTCAAGCCATATAAAGCATGGCTGAATTTCTTGCCAGCAAGCATTTGATCTTCATTGCAAGCTACATGTAAATCAGAATCAACAAGGTCTAGCAATTGTGAGTCTCCTCAGAATTTCCCAATACATGCAATAAAGTGGTACAGGGTGTGAAAACCACCCAGGTGAATCACATTGGTACCAAGTTCATTTGGGAAGGTCCATTTCACTTGCTGAGGAACAACATAGATAGTCTGAATCCATTTCTGAACAGCATGCTGTTGTCCTAGACCTGCTGACATTTCTTTACATTTCAGCATTGTAGTATAGACTGTGGCCATGGCAGCTGGTTTGGCATCCACAGTAGTACGTTAAGTCGATCACATCAATCATGTCTGCTGCTTGCCTATAAATGTGGCATATTTTGCTCTTTGGAGGTAGAATTAGTGCATAGTTACCTGCCATGTAGTTGCTTTTCTTTGGTGCAAGCTTGTGGTTGAAACCAGTCCAAAATACAATCACCTGAATGTGAACAGTATCACCCATTGTTATATGCGGTGTTGTTGTAGCCATGTTTGTCCCAGGATATTAGAGAGACAAAGTAGGTGAGGTAATAACTTTTATTGGACCAACTTCTGTTGGTGAGAGAGACAAACTTTCGAGCTTTCACAGAGATCTTCTTCAGGCCTGGGAAACTAACTCCAAGTGTCACTGCTAAATGCAAGATTTGAACAGATTGTTAAACATAAGTAGTTAACGCATATTTCAAGGGACCATTAGTTAGTTGGTTTAGTTTCCCAGACCGGAAGAAGAGCTCTGTGTAAGCTCAAAAGTTTGTCTCTATCACCAACAGAAGTTGCTCCAATAAAATATATTACCTCACCCACCTTGTGTCTCTAACAATATCATTGTCATTTGGTATTGGTAGGACATCAGGAGGTGGTAGTCTTAAAAAACCCCAGGAGAGATCAGCTAGTGTTCATTTGTAGGTAATAAGTTTTTCTCAAATACTTTTTCATGGGTAGTCTGTTCTGGAGGTGTTCTAGATTTTTCAAATACTTTCTCTGGGCAATCAGAATTTCTTATGCAATATGAAGCAAGTGTCTTTTCTTTCCCATGGTTCACTGGTATTTCTTGTGATGCTGGACTGTCTGCAGACTGTTCTTGAAATACCACTCTAGCCATGGAGTAGAAGGCCTTTTTTCCATCAGTGGTCTGTACATTTTTGTCTATGGGTATATCCAGGGCTGGCTCTAGGTTTTTTTGCTGCCCCAAGCAAAAAATTTGCCGCCCCCAGCTCCGAGAGCGCAACTGCCCAAGCATGCGCGCAAAAAAAAAAGTCACTGGAATGCCTCCCCTGGAATTGTGCCGCCCCCAGCACATGCTTGCTTTGCTAGTGCCTAGAGCTGGTCCTGGGTATATCTACACTGCAATAAAACACTTGCAGCTGGCCTGGGTCAGCTGACTTGGGCTTGTGGGGCTTGGGCTCAGGTTGGAGGATTATACTGCAACTTTATGGATGCTTGGGCTGGAGCCCAGACTCTGAGACCGTCCCCTGT